CATTTGACAATTGTGTAATTTTATGAAAATTTTAGGAGTTAAATTATAGAAGACACTTTTGTGGACATTATGATACAAATAAAGTGGTTCAATACAGGTTTACTAAAGGTATTACTATTTCAGAAGTCATGCTAGAGTGATTTTAGAATAGAATAGTTTAGAATAATTCATATTTTACTGATTAATAATATGAAGCAAATATCATATAACACTGAGTTATTTGGAGAAAAGGCCACTTGCGTATAGCAAAATGTGAAGTTCCACTGTATTTGTGAAACCCCTATCTTTTCTCCAAGTCAAATCTCACTTTCAATAACCACCTTAAACCTATCTGTTTTCCTTATTCTTTTTCTGTGCTTCAGTGAATTTCTTTAAAATAGTATTCTTGGAGAAATTCATACCACTGACTTCATCCCTGCCCTACTACAAAATCAGTCTATCCTACTCCATCTGGGTTCTCACTGCTGCTTGACAATCTTGATATCGATCTCCCATTTATTCCCTAGCACACTTCCTTTAGCAGGTGCTTCAGATCTGTCTCTGTTCACACATCTAATTCTCTACTTGCCTTTTCTATTCTCACTAGATAATAACTGTCTTGCCTTGCTGAGAAACTCACAGATAACTAGTCTGTGCTTTCTCATTTCTCCTTATCTCTATGACAGAGCAGTAAACTTTTTTGATTATCATTCATGAGACAGGCACTGTACTAGGCAATGGTGTGTCACAAGTTTAGGGTGGATTGATCATTACACCCACCGTGGTTCCTCACACATAGTAGGTACTCAATAAATGTTAAACATTAATGTACGGTGTTTAGGTGTGCAAGGTCCTGAATTCAGTTCCCCAGACTGAAAAGTAAAAGGTATGCATTAGTGAAAAGATAGTCTAGAGGATGAGATGCTTCAAGTAGACAAGAGGGAAAGTAAGTGCACGATAGCTATTGTAACCATCTCAGGTGTTCTTTCTTGGGAAAGTAGGATAGTTTCTACTGCAGGAAAGAGAGTTTATTTTTTATTTTCAAGACTTCATGCTTCATATTCTTATTAACTTCTCTTAATTCCTTCTTCTTCCTCTGAATTTGGTTGATGTCTCTCAAACAAGGACATCTTTGCTATACCTAATTATACTGTATGCATCCCATAAAACCCATTAGCATCACCAAAAAAAGCTAAAATTCTCCCAGACCCTGCTGACTACAAACATCATATGTATGTACTTCAGTTTCACATGACTGGTCTACAACTGCTGTAGTACAAGTCATTTCTTGGGTGCTCATATATCAGGTATGATAAAAAATAGAATGTTTTAAAATTTAAAAAGTTATTATAATAAAAGACACATTACCATTAATCTTCCTTCAAATACTCCCCTTCACTTTGAATATACTTATTCCATCATCTTTGCAACATGGACTTGCACTGAACTCTACAGTGATCTCCAGGCCACTGATCTTTGTCTGAATCCTCTGACTTTCCATCTCACAGTTGTTTTGGATTCCTGCATCCCTCACTGTAAAGCTACCTAAAAAATCTTTTATAATTAAAATGTGTGTGTGTGTGTGTGTGTGTGCATGTATTTTTAAAATCTGTTCCTTTAGTAAGCCCTGATGCACCTTTTATACCTTTCATGGTCATTTTGACTTTGAGGAGGAGCAAGAATCACATGGTGCTAGATCCAGCGAATAAGGTGAATGAGAACACACTAAAATGTTTTCACCAGCCTGCATTTACACTGGATGGCATGCACCAATAGCATATATTTCATGTCATGAAGTCATGAAAGAAAAACTTTCAGTATTGCTTCATAAAATGTCAAGAATAATAGGATAAGTGTGTTTGAAGCAAGGGGGAGGAATTTTTAAGGGGACTGATAGGAGCATGCCTCTTATTGTAATACTTTTATTTATTTATTTATTTGGTACTTGGGATTGAACTCAACAGACTCATGCTTGCCCTTTAGGTGCTTACACCACTGAGCTAAACCTCCAGCCCCTAATAAATATTTTTTAAACAAAAGATTTAACTTTAACCATATTTTTATCACTTCTGTAGTTCTCCTGCATTTTAACCTATTTTATTAGTGTAATTTACATGAGCTGAAATTTTGCCTATTTTTTAAAATGCACTTTGAGATTCACCTTTCTCACCATGCTTTCTTTGGTGCCTATAACTGGGAATTTCTTGAAAGATCTCATTACTCCTATAGGTAAAATGCCTTAATTTACCTTTTATTTCCACAAGATGCCCTGGGTTTTATTTCCTAACAGAACCAGGGCTCCGTAAATATTAATTGAATGGGTACTGATAAATTAAATACCTAACTGGGTATGGCAAGAGGGAAAAATGATTTAAATTATCTTTTTACAATATAACAATTTTACAGTAACTTTAAATAATTTTTACTATTGTAAAATAAAATATATAGAGTATTTGCTATTTTGTAGTAACTTTAATAATTTTTACTATTATAAAATAAAATATATAAAAGTAAATATAGAGTATTTGCTATTTTGTAGTAACTTTAATAAATAATTTTAAGTGCTTTTGCTATGTCTGATCATGTAAATCGATGAAGACAACAAAAATTTGTATAGGCTCACTTTTAGCAAAACATTAGAAATGGCAATGGTGGCTTTGCTTCCATTTTCTCCTTCTACTGTGGGAGGAAATTAATTTCTTAATGTCATATATGTTACTAAAGACGCAATTTCTCAAATGAAACTTCAAGGAAATTACAAAGGATCTCTGAATGACTAGTTTTCTAACCAATTTCAAGACCAATTTCAATTTGAAGGCAGATTACTTAAGCTTACAAATGAGTATTTCTAGCTCGGTTCCTGATAGTTCTGATATTGTTCATTTTGCCATGTTTTTCAGTTGGAACTAGTAAAACTGTTTTCTCTTAAATAATTTTCCCATTTAAACTAAGAATGAAGGGGTTCTTGGATAACAAGTTTGTAAAAATCAGGTATAATATCAAGTCATGGATAGTTCTTGGAATTTGCTAAACAGAAATGTTGCATCTAAGTGCACTATAAGTGCAACATCTCAGCCATGTAAAATCATTATCATAAAGTAATCATGATTTTTAAAAACTCTAATTGAATCATTATTCCTTCCAAAAGACTGGAATTGTGAGAATACTTCTGAAAAGCTCTCAAACTTAATATGAAGCAGGAAATATTGCAATGAGTTCTCAAGTGTGAGACATAAAAAAGTTGTATCATTCTTTCATTTTGTTTTTAATCAATTCATTATTCATAACTACATATATAGTACTTACCCAGTGAAGAATGTAGTCATAGGGGAATGTATCCCTGACATATAAAAAAGAATAAAATTAAAACAGTTGGAATACACAGTAAATTATTGTATTTCTTATTTGAAACCTTAGATACATGTTTTTGAAGCAACCACAAGAAAACCAAGTATATAGTAAAAGAAACTTTATCAATAAATTTATAAAGCCAGATTTATGATTTCTCACCTTGCCTCTGGATGTATCAACAGCAAAATATACATATAAATTGCAACTACCTACAAGGATACATTTTATATTTTAATATTCAGTCTGCAACATGATGTGTGGAAGTTATACAAATACATTAATAAACTTCTGGATGGTGAAGATTTTAGTGAAGTCTGTGATCAGTATAAAATTTTAAAGTAGTGTGTAGACAGCCATGTTGTGTAGACACCTGCAATTCTAGTATTCAGAAGTCTGGGACAGTGGGATCAAGAGTTCAAGGCTGCCTTGAGCTACACAGCAACACCATTTTAAAATTAATAATAATAATAATAATAATAATAATAGTATGTAATGTTTGAAGAAACAATGAATGCTAAGAGGCAGGGGCGAGGGGGGAAGAAATTGTGAACAACTCAGGAAGATGTTTAAAGGATCTATTAAATCTTATTATTAGTGTATCAGTCTAGGAAACAAAATGCCTATTAATCTACTTCTGCATCATATTTAAAAATGCTTCAATTTAGCCAGTCATTTCTGTTTTCAGTTCTCTCATATCCTGGCACACTGAATCCCATCTTAACACTAGTTAGTGACTATATCAAGCAGGATAGAATTTGTTTTGCTACCATAATAAACCTCAACAGCTTAAAACAAGACGAATCTGTTCTTTATCTTGCTCCATGTCCATCATGGTTGAAGACTTGCTTTACATTTTCCCCATTTAAGGACTCTAACTGAGAAAATGGCTCTACCTTCATTCGTTTGCAGTTATGGTAAAATGGCAAATAACACCTAAACTATTAAAGCTTTTCCTGAAAGAGGATACTTGTCATTTCTGATTACATTGTTGGCTAATTTAAATTGCATGGGTATGCTAACTTCAAATGAGATGAAGAAGGATAATCTCCACATTGTATAGAAGAAGAAAGGCTAGAAATATTTAGTGCACTGATCAAACATTTCTACAGCCTCCTATAAAAGACTGGCCACCCTTCTAACTCATTCACCATTCAAATCAGATTTGGTGATTTCTTTCCTTTCTAGTTGTAAGACTAGAATAATATCAATGAATGATACCTTTCTTCAAGGACTAAATGTGAAAACTCATTAATCTCAACATTAAATCAACCATTCTATGTTCAAGAATCCCTGTTTCCTACTTGTAAAATTTTTGTAATTGTATCTACCTCAGAGAGTTATTATGAGGATTAAATGGTAAACATTTGTAGAATATTTAGCATATAATAAGCACACAAAGCAGTGATGGCAATGTTTATCTGTAGGTAACTACTAAGTATTCAATCAAATTTAAGAAAAGGTTCTTATTGTTTTTCTATTTATAAGCATTATAAAATTATTAAATCCTAGTTTATTATCTATTTATTTATAAGATCAGTTTAATAATTCCATTTTTACTTTACTAAAGAAATAACTAAAGGAAAAAAAGAAAAGAGTATTTAAGACAGAGAATATAGTGTTCTATTTCCAAAATGTTCATGATCCTTTATTGGTTTTATTAAACTTAACAGATGTTCGCTCAGAGCAGAAAGTTTCCACAAGGACTACTTCTCAACTGTCTGTGGTGAAGATGGCATTCTTGCTTCACAGATGAGTATGCTGTACACAATAACTATTGTGTATTTACAAAGTTAGTTAAACAGCAGGATATTAACTCATGACATTGGTTTAGGTTACTGTTGATTTTGTTGTTCACCAGTAGCTTTAATAACATCTTGCCTTTTAGACTGAAGGTTATGATTTTGAACGCATTGATTTTCTTTTGGTCTTTTTGAGACAGGGTTTCACTGCACAGTTCAGGCTGGCCTTGAACTCACTTTGTAACCCTACCAGGCCTTAAATTGACAACATTCCTCTTGCCTCAACTTGCCAAGTGCTGGGATTACAGGCATGTGCCACCACACTCGGAGAGTGTGTTGATCTTTACCTTGTATTCCAAGGATAATTTTAGCCAATCTAAGGTCCTTGAGAACTTCAACCTTTCCCAAAATTGCATTTTTGTTTCTTTCTTCATATCATCTTTAACCCTCAAATAGAGATCTGACAGTATGCTAATAAGTAAAATGAAAATGAAGAAACAAAAATGGAAATTTAACCTTAAGAGAGTAATCGTTAAATTTGAATTTGAAAATGTCTTAAGAACCGGCATTATTAGGACACATTTTAATATTGTCTGTGTGTGTGTGTGTGTGTGTGTGTACAGTATTGATATGTAAGATAATGGGATGATTAATGGATTATGTCTTACACTTCCCTGGGTTGTAGGTGTCCATAGTGTGGAAAAAAAATGTTCTTAGAACACTGAGAAAGAAGTGGAAAGTAATAATAATTTCCCTGAAATATCTTTTGATGGTTTCTCAAAAGTTGGCCCATGGTTTCTGTTTTACTACTCCATCATGACTTGGTATTACTAATCACAAATTTTAAAATGGAGGGTGCATGCATGCACATATATATGTATGAAAAATGTCATAAAGTGACAAAATAATATCTTTGTGACTCCTTTGGATTAGGTAAGTGTTTGTTTCGGCTTTAGGGTATGAACAGGCCTTTGGGCAAATCCGTTGATCAAAACACTGAGGAAAATATGATGTTGCTATTATTCAGAACTGAAGCTGTACCATATAAATAACAAATTCATTCTCTGGGGGGAAAAAGAGGAATGGAAAAGAAACAAGATTCACAGTTTAATTTATGGGTTTTGTGGTTTTCTGGCTTACGGTTTCTTAGTGGAAACTATAGTTTCCTTTTTCCCATTTTCCACACACAGCCGGGGAGATGGACATTTGGCAAGCCATAATAGACTGCTCCTTTCCCAGGTATCTCCTGCTTGTTTCCTTTATCTGTGAATAGGAAATGGCTTAAAGGCACCTGTGTGATGAAGGTCCCAGGGGCAGCTGCCTGACTAGTGAATGCCTGATTATGTGTTAACATGCTTTGTCAGATATTGGCAGAATCTGTTCTCTTCTTTTGCCTTTTCAGCAAGGGTACCATTGACAGCCTGGCTACCCATTTATAGAAATGTTGTCCATCAAACTGTGAGGAAGGACAATGGTGTTTTTCTGTGGCCAGTGACTGTGGGAAACTTTTCTTTGGCTATTCAGGCAATTTTTGTAGCTTGCTCTGAAGAGGAGAGACTGATGAGTGCAAAAAGTACAATTAAGCAAAGCCAGACTTCAATTGAAGGCTGTAGTGTAGTCTGCTGTTCTCATTTTTTTTTTTTTAGAGGGGGAAAAAAAACCCTATGGGTTTTCACGTTGCTGTGTGGCATTCAGCAGGGGGCTATTACAATCCTAAATTTTTTTCTAGACCACCTAATTCTAAGTTAAAATTAAATGTAATGAGAGCCACTTGGAGTTCTGAATATTTTAAAGCATAATTCCCACAGAAGGGATTCGACCTAAACTGCAGTGAGCATCAGTTGGCTAATTATAGCTGCATTTTATATTACAGCAGGTGTCAGATGCAGTCATCTCAATAAAGTCCACATAATACTCTGAGAAATAACAAAGACTTTTCTTTGAATGTGGGTACTAATTTCTGCTAGGTGTCATATGAGCCTCGATACTTCTTATTGGCATTAACAAGAGCACTGCTGCACTCAGAAATGCTTTTTGCTTGGGATGAATTGATACTGTAAAGCACTTACCAGTCAGACTTGGCAGATGTCAGTAGTTAATACTAGTGTTGCAGAGGTTGGAATATAATGCAAAGAGTCTTATGTAAATACTCTTAGATGATGGGCTGGTTTTGAGAAGGAGCCTGAGCACTGCACCAACTCACTTAATGAAAGTTAAATAGATAGCAGTAGGGTATCTGCATTTACTCTGGTTCCTGCTTTATTGAAAGTCCTCCAGAAGTGAAGGGCAGATGGTAAAGCAGTAAACTAGGTGAACAAAATATGCCTGACTGGGATAAGGACTTGCTATATTCACAGGGCATTCCTTGAACTTGTGTGGATGATTCAGTTACTGAAATGATAGCCAGTGCAAAAGTATGTCTGAAGATAAGGACTGCTGTCTCATTAAAAAATAAATTTAACTTAGAAAATATTTCAGGGATTGAAACGATACTGAACAATGGGCAAGACAAAAAGGATGCCACTTTAAAATCATGATTATCCTGCACTTCTCCATTCTTCCAAGACAGTTACCATTTATGTAATCTATTGTAGTCACATTGGGTCATAGCAGATTAAAAAAAAAGAAGACCTACTAAAAGTCATTTTACAAACTTGCAACTAAAATGCAACAAAGGAATTCTTTATACATATTCCACTCTGGATCAACTATGGATTTTTGTTCACCTTGTGTTTTTTCTTTTTAAATATAGTTCATAGCAACACAAACACAGTTTGTCCTTTCAATCCCCAGAATTAATATCTTGGCAGATTACAATTTATGTACATCTCATAGCAGACCATATAGAGTGCTTTCAGAAATTAGCTCTGACATGGTGGACTTCAACATTCATTCAACTTTGATTCAATGACTGAGCACTGGTAAGCACAAAGCACTATTAAGCCCAGAAGTGAAATCTAAGATGACAAGAGGGCATAGTGCCTGTTTTCAAAGTGTTGACTACCTAGTTTCAGAAGTATTATTTTTGCTCGCTTTTATGAAGGATTTTTGTTAGATCTAATAGATTAATAATCGAATAGATTAATGTTAATAGATTTTGATAAAACTCAGGATAAAATTATAAAACATTGCAAAAAGTCACATAGAAATCACAACAAAGGAACACAGATAATCAACAAATGGAAATTTTTCCTTATAAGCTCTCTCAGTTAAATACCTCTCAGTTAAATAGCTCTCTCTTTAAATACCTAAAGCCTCAACTGTGAATATTTTTTTCTCACATAAATTTAATATTTTTAATGAAAAAATTTAGGGGACATGTACAAAAAGAAAAGAATCTATATTTCTACTGTCTAGGCTCAGGTATATCAAATTTATTCTTTAACTGTCACTGCATATAAAGTATGTATGTATGTATATTTTAAATGGGATTATACTATTTTATAACTATCTTTTGAATTAGGATTTCTGTTAAGAACGTCTTTACTTCTAAAAAACTGTCCTTGCTCAATATTGTTTTCAGTTATTATGTAATACTGTAATGCATGGATACACCATAGTTTTTTATACCACATTTTATTTTATTTATTTATTTTGGTACCGGGGATCAAACTCAGGACCTCACACTTACCATGCAAATGCTTGAGCCAATGAGCTAAATCCCCAGCCCAATACCACACTTGATAATCTTCTATTATTATGCAGGTAATGCTTTTTCAACTTATTACTACTATAAATCAAGCTGTAAAGCATATTCATGTGGTAAATATTTCCCTAACTCTATGGCTATATTTGTTTATTCCTGGTAATGAAAATGCAAAGTTTTTATTAAACCTACAGATTTTTTAGACACTTTTCATAAATAAAGAAAGTATATTTATTCTTTCTACTTAGATGTGAAATTTTGATTGTTGATAGACTTTAAAGTCAAGTGTTTAGTTTACAAAACTAAATTGTAAATAGATAAGACCCTTCAATTTAACTAGAAATTATAATGTAAATTTAACTAGAAATTATAAATTGATTAGTTAACAAGTGGCTTCTGTAGCCACATAGTTTTCAGTATAAACAGAGTCTGTATACTGAACTCTACATGTGCATTTCCTGGCAGGACTATGTGAATATTCACAGTAGTGGGACCATTATTTATACTCTTATGTGTAATCTTGTTCACTTAAATATTAAATAATTAAAGAGTTCTGGTGTATATTTAAGTATTTTATATATTATTTAACTGTTTTTAATACATGTTTATTTTAAAAATAGTCATTAATCTTGAATTGCTTCCAACTTAATCCACCTAATTTCAATTGGCCTTGAGTACATCAATTCTTACCATGTTTCATACAATAATTAATCCAAGCCTTCCTCATTCTTCCCCAAGGCAATATAAGAAGACTCAAGAATAAGAACAAAAGGCATTAATTTCTATGTTTTTCATTGATTGCAAAACGTAATATTTTGCTTTGGTAGAAAATAAGGTAGACCATGTCCAGTGACCTCCAGCCGACTAGCAGGGGCCTGATTTCAGTCCCTAGACCTGAACATGCATGAGTTGACTCCCAGCACACAGGGAAGCCTTGGAATATAGCTCCCAGACAGTAAGACCATGCCCTACATCCCAAATCACCAGAGGACACATGGGAGGTCCCCCACAGGCTTAACTACAGACCATGCCCAGTGAACTGCAAGTGGCTAGTAGGGCCCTGAATTTAGTCCTGGAAGCTTCCCACACACAAGTTGAATACCAGCACACAGGGAAGCCTTGGAACATCACTCTCAGGCAGTAAGACCATGCCTAGTGTCCCAAATCACCAGAGGATGCATGGGAGGTCTTTGCTAGCCTAACTGGGCAATGCCCAGTGACCTCTAAGAAGCAGTTGCCTGCAGTCTGCTGTGGGAGCCAAAAGTGGGACAGGTGATTCCCAGTGCACAAGGGAAGCTTTGGAACATTGCTCAAAACCCCAAAATATAGGAAAGTGACAAAACGGAAGAGCAAAATGCAATCTCGAAC